ACCGATATAAGCGCTTTAATCAAGGCATGGGAACTTAACTACACTTACCCATAGCATACATAAACAGTAGTATTGCTCGGCCAACATATCACGTCTATGTGCTGTGAAGAGCATTATATGAAAAACACTAGTGAAAATTATATTCCACGGCTACTGCATATCACCGTGAATATCGGTTTTTTAACCACTTCACGAAAAAACGGGTGAAACTCCTTTGGTTTACTTGAAACCCCGCTCCGAATCCAAAAACAATACGTTTGCAAGTACCCTATGTATCCTCGGATTGAACGGTTACCGTATTGAGTGATTCGGCTTCATCTAAACTCTTTGATGGTAGAATTCAGGTGTGGTGTAAAGAGCGTAATAAGGACTATCGCCAAGGCATGAGCGACATCGCTACTGTATTGTTGTAAGGAGCAGTAGTACCATCCGTAGAGTACTACTACCACAACCACAGATACGGCTTAGTTGGTGATGATACCGACAACTCTATTGGACGGGGTGGACTGGCGGATGGCGAAGCAGATGCTTTCATGTTGTTCGATACAGTAATGTCTGGCACTATACAGCATGCTGACATGTTCTATTCGGAATCAACAGGTGATATAGACTTGATATTAGTTGTTATGGTTGTTGTTCAGGAAGTGGTAACACTCTATTGCCGTCGCAAAGTCAACCGAAGTCGAAGATTTTACAGAGATGTGAATACGTGTTCGATAAACTGTTGCCTCAAGCTGACGAGGACCTCAGTAACCACCTTCATAAGTATGCATGCAGAGGAATTAAATAATGAGCATACCGTAACTTTCTCAGCTCGGCTAAGATTGCACCGTCCCTCTTCTTGATGCGGTGGATACGCCTCATATTTGCTCGGGAGATGCACGTTGTAGAAGTCCTACGGGTAGTGGGTCGAGCTGAATCAGCACCTGGCGCTTGTACTGAATGCATCTCGTTGTGGAATGATTACTTCTCAATTAGAATCGATAGTACGTGTTGCGATATATATGCTCGCTTTCCTCAGCTGAGCTCACAAATTTCCTCATTTTCTGCAAAAGTTTGCCTACGAATTCGGGTAGAAGTGTGCAGAAACCAGCAGAATTTCTCAATTTTTCTGTCACCAACACGTGTAACTGTCCATGTACATATCTTCCTACATTGAGTACTCTAGCATCTGGATGATCACAAATTTTCGTTCTCTCTTAAAAATTAGGGAAGTCGCAGTCGGAAGTATGCATAGTCAACTGCCTATAGTGGAATTTCTGAGCCTGTCCAGAAAGAACTAATGCAAAGCGGTCGCTGTGTG